TGTATTCAGCTTAAATGTTTATTTATATGACAGAAGCAAGGTTAATAAATGCAAAATTTAGAATATTATCTGAAATGCACATCATCAACTACTAAGCAAAATAAAATATTTTTCTTGTGTCAAGTCAGCACAACAATGATACTTATATGTAAACAGAAAGATTTTACACAAAGAATTACATTACACACAGTTCGAGAAAAGTGACCATTAGAAGATATTTTATTGATATCTGAGAGCTGAATCAGAGGATTGATGATAGTACAGAATCTCACAAGCGTTATCTCTTAAGCAAATAAGTCTATATTCCGATTTCTAATGTATTTTTTAATTTGTTCCATTATTTCATCGGTCTTTAAAGTGTAAATAATCGGATTAAGAAGAGGAGGAAGAGCACCAGACAAAGCTGTGTTGAGAACTCTGGTATCAGTATCAACGTTCACATTTACCCAGGCTATAATATTGGTGACAAGAAGCGGCAAATAATATATCGCCACCAGAATTAAATGGGAAGTGCAGGTTTTGAATGCTTTTCGTCGACCATCGGTTTCTGCTATCTTTAGAAGTGCAACTATAATACATAAATAAGACAGCAATATTAACGCGAGAGGGAAAAACCAAACAGACGTGACATACAAAGAAGCCAGGAACCAGCTGATTGAGTAATCGCTGCAAGTACTTTTAAATACCGGTCCATGGTCACAATATAAACTGTTGACGATTACAGATTTACAGTAAGACAAGCGAGTTATGAAACACACCATCGTTAAAACAATAACAAAAGGTATAGACCAAGAACTGATAATAACTATAATCATTTTATTGTTTGAATTGATAGTTTTGTATCTCAGAGGAAAGCAAATAGCGATTAATCTGTCATATGCCAAAACTATTAGCGCGTACGATTCCATTGCAGAAAAATACTCTACGAAGAACATCTGAGTTAAACAAGTACTGTATTCCATGAATCTGTTCCCATAAAGGAACAAGTCTAAAGACTTTGGGATGAGTGATGTACTGTAACTCACATCTACCAAGGCCAAGCTAAAGACCCCGAAATACTTCGGGGTGTGCAGCGGCGGAGCAAACCAGATGATGGACATAATTAAGGCGTTGGCTAATAAAGTAGCGACATAAATCACCCCCAGGAATATAAAAAAGTAATTAGTGTTTTCCAAGGCGTAAAATCCACGGATGTAAAAGCCGTTTGGCCGGATAAAAGTGGTGTTAAGAACAGGTGATGTTGTTGTTATCACGGAGGTCATTTTTCTTAACCTGGTAAAAAATAAAAATTATACTCGAGTTTCTCAAAATCAGATTTAAAAAATATCAAAACATTTGTTTAAAATTGACTTAAATTAAAGAGTGTTAAAATATTCATTGCCTGACGTTTTCTTATCAACTTGGATACTTAGCGATGTAATGGAACTGAAAGTATTTAAAATAATAATATATTCACAATATCATGATTATAATAATGAACAAAATTAACAAAATGTTCTCTATGTCTACAGTATTTTTAAAATAACCAGATACTTCTTAAAGTCACCATTTAAAAAAGGCCACTCACCTTTCAAACACGTCCTCTTCAATTGTGCACTGTAGTGGAGAGGCTCTCTAATTTATAATAAACTACCATGACGCTAAATCACATGAAGTATTCCGAGGGGTAAGAGTTATTGGGAATCCAGATCTTATTTGTACTAAACATGTATACCTGGAAAGGCCAGTTACGCCTCCTGCGGGGCAAGCTTGATCACATGTTCTGTAACAGTAAAAGGTAAATCACCAATACTGTAATATCAACGTATGAAAAAGCCTGTGCTCTGCTGTGTGTAAAGTAAAATAACATGGTCAAAACAATTGAGTGTGTAGTATGATACTGTAGTTCTCAGATCGTGTCCCTTTCTTGTTGTGGTTGTATGAGAAGCAGAGGGAAGGTGTAGCTTCTGCTAGTACTGACTGGTATTTGACTGTCAGAGAAGAAATGTTAATGAACAGCTTTTGAATGTGTGATTGTAATCTTTCTAAAATATGCCTTATCGTACTGTATGTCACGATAAATATAAGTCCAACACAATCAAGTTGTAGAAAACTTACTTATTTTATTGTGTGCTCCACCAGACATGCGTTAAACGTCTCCTACCAGTTGTTTTCCTGCACGGGCTCTTACAGGTCATGTGGTACAATACAAGCACTGAGTGCTATTGCACCTTTACAATATACCACAAAACGGACAGTCAAAAGTTAAGGAGTCCCTTAACTGCACTCCTCAAGAGCAAGAGGCCCAGTAATTATTTTGTAGCGTTTTTCACAGGTCTTAAGCTTCTGATAAATCGAAAGAGAAGATCCTTAAAAAGTAAACCATGGATGAATGAGAGCTCACAAAGAGCAAACTGGGAACAGATAGATATGGAGGATAGAATGAATGTGTTTTAAATGTAATTCATCCCGAAAACAATGAATTTCTGTTCAAAGAAATATGGCCTAAATGCCATTATGGAGATATTAAGAAAAAGGTGAAAAGGGAGAGAGTGTCCTAAAAGCTGCATAAAATGCCCAAGATTCACTGTAAAAAAGATATTATGATTGCCAAAATGGATACAGAAAGATATTACAACAGAGACAAAAAATAATAAATTTTCAGTACATGCACTACAGCTGTATAAAAGCATAAAGTGGGACTTAACAGTTCTCAATATATTGGTTAATAACAGAAGTAACAGAAGATGACAAAAAATGATAAAATATAGAGCCTACAT